AATTTGAGGAAAAGAGAACGATCAGATGGTAGTTTGAAGTTAAAAAAAAGTAAAATGATTTGCAGTCTCAATAGCAGCTTTACCAATCTTCCACAAAATCGATACTGTGAGTTCGAGAATGGTCTTATCAAGAGGTTTCTGTCTTAAAAAAATAACCTCACGGTCGATTTGTCGGATGTTAAATATTAATTTTTGTGAAAACAAAAAAAAAGAAAAATTTGCTCTATCTTTAATTTATTATGAGGTACTACGAGTTTTTTTACCGAAATATTGTCGCTCAAGATCTTTGCTTTCTTTCAAAAGGCATGACTAACCATTAATTAGGTTGACTTTCAAAATTGATATTGGCCGTATCAATTCATGTCTTATTTGGCTCTCTTCTATTTTGGCGTCATCCATCATACCATTTGAACGAGACTTAGCGTAACTGGAGTAAGCGGTGTTTTATGATGATGCTATTAATGTGGATAACATTAGGGCGAAGGGAGGCCATATATTATTCTATCAGCTCGCCGTATGTAAAATGTGAATCTCTTAGCCAGGGGCAGTTGAAAATAAATAATTTCTGCCTTTGTGGCCATGTTTCGAAACCATACAGAAGGGTTGCGCATGCCGCAGCAAGTTATGCAAATTTTCTTTGATTTGTTGATTTCTCTGTGATTCCACAGAGATTTTGCTAAACGGAAGACTTCTATCACTTTTAGCCCATTTCCAGCTGTCCAGACTGGAATTTCTTCTACTATTCTATATAAGAGAGGATCCAAAATATTTGAAAATTGGTACTGCTTCAACCACTGATATTTATAATCTTCTTGTTCTTTTAACCATTACTAGTTAGGGTGGCCCCACTGGCTACAAGAGCAAGACGTCTCCAAACTGCTCAGCCCGACGCCATCGCTAGTAGTAAAAGAAACCATTCCTTTTACTATCGTTTAAGTCCATATATAGCTGGTCCCTCCATACGTTCAAAACCTTTCCTGAATGTATCAGTCCAGGTCTTTACTGGCTGTCCTCGATTTTGACGCCAACCATTACAGGGTTTGGCAAGTAATGCGTCAACTCCTGTGAGTGAACGACAGAGAACGTGCCCTAAACTAGCGAAGGCGATGCTGCGTGGACAGCATTATTAATACAGGTGGTATTTGAGCAAAGATGCATATGCGATCATGTGCGATTTTATCTGCTCGGCAGATCCGTAGAATGTACCTAAGATATGAGTGGTCAAAGGCTAATATTTCCACTCTCATTCACCATGTTTTATAGCCATATAGCAAAATCGAGCGAATTGCAGGTATATGGACGCATTTTCGTCTTTATGGTGATTTCGCGACGATTCCATAAAGGTTTCATCAACCGGAAAAACAATTCTAGCTATCGTTATCCGGGTTACTATTTCATCCTTTGCATGGCCATTTGGGATTAGAGTGGATATAATTAAGTCATATTTAAATGATTCTATATTTACAATCATGGTGCTTTATTAGCATCTGGTATGAAAACGAAAAGATATTAGAACGATTTTTGTCGACACTCGTTCTAGCATCTGATGATACGAAATAATATTTTTCATCCGTTGTATCATTATTAAATCCAAAATACGTCGATCTGAATTTGCACGCTTCTTTAATGCTAGCAAGACAAAGATTTCTACGATACAGCCTGTTGATTGCATGCTTCTCCAATGCTATCTGTCTATCAAATCGAAATTAGCGATAAATTCAATAAAAGAGAAAGAGAAAGTGAATTGCCGATATTTGAAACTAGGCCCTTCTTACATAATATATGTCAGCACATTCACGTTCTGGCATATATTTAACTTAGATTTGTCGAATCATAGTTGTTTTACGAAAGAGGCAAAGTAATTTTTTATTATCACTTACTCCAGCATTTCTCCATATTAAATCTAATATCACTCCAGCATCATTTTTATTCAGCTTACACCGGTTGTACAGTTTGGCCCACAAATTCAAACTGCTAATAATTTATCTTAAAAGAAGAGAAATGGTATATGAAAGAAAAATAATTTCTTAATTTTAATAAAGAAAAAAGAAATAAAGATAACAAAAAAATTTAAAAAATCATTTTTACTATTATAACAAAATTGCAAACATAAAATTTAATAGGCAAGCGCGATGGGATCACAAGAAACGTGCAAATCTAAGGAAAAACTTGTTTGCTGTGGTTCTGTGGTTGCTTAAGTTACCGTTACCATGCATTATTCACAATTGAAAAATTTTCGATAAACCCCTAAAGAAACGATTTCTTCTGCGAAGACTAAGTTCGAAAGACTTCATTTAAAAATAAGTCTACTGAAAGTATTTAGTTCAATATTAATTTTTTGGATTGATCCAGTCATATTTTTGATTTTATCAAATGTATCTTTTATCATCTAAACAATAGCATGCGGGTAGTTTATTCTTTCATGGTTCGTACATATTACTGATAAGACTTGAAACAAGTTTAATTATCGATATCTAATAGTGGCGGTATTATGACAATGAATCAACTTGAACCTTTAATGAAACCAGCGCCTCGAAGATTACCAAAAGCTAAGAAAAAGCATAAATTTGTCTTACCAAATCTTATCAAAAACAAATCAAGTATGTTATTATTTTGTATAATTTGGATTACAATTTTTTGACTTTGTTTCCTTGATATTAAGTTTTTTGCAGGAGTATGATGTCATTTGGAAAAAAATTGGGTTAATTTTAATTAGTTTTTAGAGCACTTTGGATATTGTGATGCTGCTGGAACAATTATTTTATAATATTATTTAAGCTTTAAATTATTTTCTTAATTTACAGTGTGATCACTTAATTTATTGATGGTTACTGAATTATTCGCCCACATTAATAGAATAATTATAAAATTATGTAAATTAACCTTTTTTATTAAAAAGCACTCACCATTGCTGATCAGACTTTGGCCTCTGACTTGCCGCACTAGATTCCCTTTGAGCGATAGTCCAGGTTGGTCACCATCATTCGGATTTTTGGGCAGGTTTATTCCTGCTCAAGTATAACCTCAGCGACGGCTCTCCAAATTGAGCAACACTGAACCATTCTACTCTCCTTTGTTTTTTCTTTGTTAAGCGACATTGCTGCCTAACGAAGAGTGGTACAACGACTGATTCGACCCTACGCTTCGATTCTCGGTGACAATTACCTTGCCACTGAGCCACCGACGCAATTACGGTTTATTACGGCTTCATTACACCTTTTGTTCATAGAAAACTAATGATATGGAAAAAAATCTCATAATGACGAAGTTCAGCAGTTTTTTCATTTCATATTTTTATATCTTTAGTTTGACCTAAGACCTCGATTCTCTTGCCACTGAGTAACTGAATCACCTAGACTGCTAAAATTTAATTGAGCTTTGATATATGAATTGCGAAAATCCCTAGAAATGAATTCCTATCAATTACATTCAAACTTTTCTGGATTTGCAAGATTCGCGAGATTAAGACAGACTTTATTGGAGATTTCGTTATCTCGTCGTATTTTCATCCTTGCATTTGCAATCGCTGAACGGACCATTTGAAAAAAACATTTTTTTGCATCAGAAATCTTTATCACATTGTTGATTTTACAGCCAAAAACTTGAGATTTTATTAAATCAAGGTTCATCTTTAAACAATTTCAAAAGTTAAATAATTTATTCTGATCCAGTTTGTGGTTCCTAATTCTTTATCATTTCTTCTTAAAACTATATAATGCAAAAGTTCTAACTATTACAGGTTCTATTACAGGTTTCCATTTTTCATTATACCATTTTTCAAGTCATGAAATTGTTATAAAATTTTATTTTTAGATGGCGGATATACAGCAAATCAGTGGAACATAAGTAATTCTGAGGTAAGGAACTTCTTAATTTCGAATATATTTCTTAAAGAAAGTAGTAGTTTTGAGAAACTGTTACTAATTACTTATAAGCATAATTCTTTTACAAAACTTAAGATTTTTGATTTCTCTAGATAAATCAAAGTAAGCTTGCAGCAACCAAATGTCTTGAAGGATGTTAATAAATTTAAAACCACTTAACAAAATATTTTTATCAGATTAAAGGAAATTTTTTTCTACAAAAGGATGGCTCAGTTAATAAATCTACTTCGAATGCGACGTTGAATGATGTTACTCTGTTAAAAGTTAATGATGACCATTCAACTTTTATAAATGGGTATGAACTTTATCGATTATTGGCCCAATAAATAATAATGAATTAACAATATTTAATTTTATTAAAAGATTTTGCATAAAAATTTTTACAGCTATAAAATATTTCAGATTCCGGAAAGGCAGCGCTAATCTCTCGAAACCGGCAATAAAATCTGGTAACTTTTTAGAATTTTTGGGCCAATATTTTATATTGTTGGTTTGCTTATCATTATCATTATGGCAGCGATGCTATAAGATAGAATACGATTGATTCTTATTGATAATGGTTAAAAATGACCTATATTATAAATTAGTTTTAAGAGTATGTATCATTTATCAATATATATCAATTCCAAATATTTTTTTCATTTTAAATAGAAGGAAATTTTTAGCAAAAATTGGTCAGATTCCTCCTTTATCAGATAAAAATAGCGAAGATTCGCAGAAACAACCAAATCTGCGCGGCAATACATTGTTTTCATTCGAAAGAAAGAGCAGTAGCCATCAGAATTTGGCTTCAACATCTAGAGTATGTCATGTGCACTTAATGAATTTCCAGTGGTGGTTTTTTTGACCACATATATATATATATATATATAATTAATAGATAAATTTTCTCTAATTTTTTTCACTAAAATCCTTGTAAGTAAAAAAAAAAGTGGTTAACATTTACCATTTCCCATTCGGCTACCTCTGCTGGCTGTTAGTATAATTTTTTACTCGTTAGCAGTCTTTTCCAAGAAATTATTTGGCTTAAGGCCTAATTGGATCATCAATAAAATAATCAATGTTTCGTAATGCGCACATGCAATTCTTTAGCCAGCAAAACAAGGCATGAAAAAAATGTTTCTCAAAGACAGTGTATCTACTAACCATGTTAAACCTACTATCAGCGCTTCTACATCGTTTTTGGATAGTATTGGTCGCCAAAAGAATCAAAGAAGTCTCTCTGCCACTTCCAATTTCGACAGACGGTTAAATTCGGATGCGCGGAATCCAGAATTAGCGATGCAAAATGCATTAGCTAAAGTTGATGGCGATGATTGGTGAGTGCCTCTTCGACCAAAACTAACAAATTATTTTTGGGAAGTATTTTTTAAATTTGCTATCAAAAATTCGTTAAATGAGATGAGTTGAAATTTTAGGGAATTTTAGGAAAGAAAAGGTCGATGCTATTCAAATATTTGTTTACATTTCGGAAACTTCGCCGGAGACATGCGTGAAATATTCACATGCAATTTTGGTTGTCTTGCTGAATGAATGTAAAAATCTCCGTTCCACCGTCTCACGAGCAGCTATCGTTGCCATCGGCAAATTGTTTTGTAATATCAAATCAAAAATTGATTTCGATGTTGAGAAGGTTTTGGCAATTTATTCATTGTAAATTTGATCAGCTAATAATAATGGTCATACTATCCTTCTTGTAATTTTAATTATTCGTGGCTTTGAACCTGCCATCAGCTATATTACAAGCTCCAGCATGTGCCCTATTTCTTCTTTATGAAGGCGAAATATTTTCAAGTACCACAATTTTTATGCGAAAATTGCAGATTTGTTCGATTCTGATGCAAAAAGCGGGTGATGTTAGTAACGCCTTTATACGTGATGATGCATATGCAGCATTGGATGAAGTGGTGAAAAATGCTTCGCCCATGAAGGTACTCTCAGGATTGATAGCTTCTGGATCAAAGTATGTTATGCGTTACATTAAAACCACTGAATGCGAAGAGATGGAATAAACATTTTTTTTCTCCTTTATTAGCTCCTTAATTATCATTATGCAAGTCGTTTAGGATCATTTTTGATCCAATTTGTTTTCAGAAGTAAAAATAGTGTGATACGTACAAGTTGTGCGAGCTTAATAGTAAAATTAATTGAACGAATCGGGCCTTCTCAAGCCCTCAGTTGCCCTGATATTAACAAACTTCTGTCGGTTTTGACCGCATTTGCTCAAGACGCAAATCCAAGTGCTAGATATCAAGGGAAACGAGGATTAGATTTGTTAAATCAAGTGAGAAAATTTGATTTATTTTCATCCGTTTGAATGTTGTATTTAGTGCTTAATTCCACTATATTCTCATAAAGATCTAGCAATTCGATTAGTGAAGATCTATTTTTAGATTTCTAAATCACTTCCACTTTTTGTTTTTTAAGGAGCCAAATCAGTTTGAAAAGATGATTCAAAAATTCTTAACTGCAACAGAAATTCGTAATATCCATGGAATCATAGACTCAATTAAAAAAAGGGTAAAAGTTTTCGAAGTTTTCAATATTTAGGTATTTCTTGATTGCAGTTTTAGTGCTTCATTGTGATGTGAAATTCTAAATTTTTCCTAAATTTCCGAGGTTTTCGAAAAGTTTCATATTTTAAATTAATATGGAATTTTAATTATGATGAATGGAATCTTAATTTAGCATCGTTCTCTCGAAGGAATTAAACAGGTGTTACTGTACAAATCTCGGAATGAATTATTGCACTAAATACTGGCTTTTGATTTGACTAGAATAGATTTGAGTCCAAACCATCAAAATTTCACAATTTTCGTTTTGTTTTCTTGATAACAGCTTGTTTCTTAAGGGTCTTGAAATTAGCAATCTGGACACAATCAGTTCATCTTCATTGCCTCACAGATCAGTCAACTGTCGACAAAATAGCCGCTACCGTGCTAATAAAATCCCTGATTCGATTCAAAGCGATCTCAGCGAAGTTCGTGCGGATTTAACAGCTAGTTGGTTGGTGGTTATTTGCTTCGATTCGGAATAAGTAATTCAGTATGAAAATAGGAAATGCAGTGGAGCTGAGCATGACTGAGAGAATCCTGTTAAGATAATATAATGCACGAACTGGCAGTGATAAGATTGAATGTGATAAGCATTTCAGTAACTACCGTAAGAGATAGAATGGCTCAGTGGGTTATTGCTCAATTGGGAGCACCGATGCTGAGGTTCGATTCTCTGCAGGATAAACCTGTAAAAAAATCGGGGTGATGCTGGCGACTCACCTGATTTCCATCGCCAAGGGACTCCCTGGCATATTGCCCAATGTGACAAGCCAGTGGAGCGAATTTAACCAGTAATGGTGAGGACTATTAAAAAAAAAAAACTATCGTAGCTACTAAATATTATGATTAGTTTTAATTGCTAAGATGAACCAACCAATTCACTTAGGAAATGAACATATAAAAAAAAATTTCATCGCAAGTTTAGTTGGGAGCGTCGATCAGCTGGTTTAAAAAAGTTTCATCAAAGGATTTTGAACTATGCTCGCGCTACTACACATGACACAAAGTTGATGGAATCGTTTATTGGACGGCTAAATGATATAAATAGCAAAATTTCACAGGAAGCTATGGAAACATATATCAAGATCTTGCCTTTAACAGCCAAGTTTATCAAAACTAATCATTTTTTAAAATATTTTGAAAATTTTGTAGATATAATAAGAAAGCGAACAACAATACCTGTAGCAACCAAAAGCATAATTATTCGGTTCGAACCCTTGATGGGTTTCTAACCAACCACCTACATATAATATTTTTCACAAATTTTTAATATGTATGGACGATTTCCAGGTACTTTTCAACAGAAACAAGCCTAAAGCTTATCCTCACTCAATTGATAAATGCTTTTATGTCTCACCTTTCGAGTAGAAGTGAAGAACATCTTCAGATTGCTCAGAAATGTATCAATGAAACTATTGCAAACATCGGTATGTTGAACATCGACAAAGTAACCATTTTAGATATAAAAGATAATTAAAAAATTCTGTACCTTGAAGAGTGCAGACATATTCGAAAATAACCTGTCCATTCCTTTGCATTTTTTTTTTTTTCAGACAATACAGCATTGTTTCCAGCTCTTTCAGCAGCAACACGACAGGCCAACATCAAACAGAAACCATTTATGCTTCTATCACTTAATAGTACATATTTCCTTGTCTTTAAATGAGAAAAAAAATAATTAACATTTTTTTCGTTAATGGCCACTAATTTAGCGGTAAGCAAAGCACTATACGAAACGAGGCCGAGACAGGTGGAAACGATAGCATTACCTGTTTTATGGGACCTGTTTAAAGCTCCACCACACTTGCAAAATGATCCAGGCGTACGACAAGCAGTTAGAGAATATGCAATCGGATTGAGAACCTGTATCGGCGAGGCTAATCTTCTCAATATGGCAGTATCTCAACTTACTCCAAGCCAGAAGAAATCGTTTGAACTACTCATAAAATAGTTGATATCAAAATATTTAAAGCAATTTTGCATTATAACAAATCTATAATATCTTAAATTATTTTAAAAATCTTCATATTGTTGCTTCTATATTAATTAAGAATAAAATTATTATTTCCAAATAATAATTGACCTTTTCCAAACAATAAGTAATTATTTTTTCATTAAAAATATAGAAAAAAAATAGAAAATATTAAAATTTGTTTAGATCCTATCGAATTGCACTTGAATCTCGAACTCAGATGAATTAAGAAACAGGCTGAGCAGGCTTGATTAGAGTAATTTCCGATTCCTTGATCGTTCTTTTTCTCGCATTTATTATCTGTAAACAAAAGAGATAGTCTCACCTGCCATACAGCTATATTTAATCTTTTATTTGAAGCAGTAAGTGAGAAGCCGCAAGGCTGAAATTTTATCCTCAAACTTGTGTAATTAAACCAAATTAATAATGTATGGAGGGGGATAAAATGCAGAAAATCGCTTTAAATTTAAATTTCATTGCAAAACAGAATTTAACAGAAACATTACATATTATAATATATTATATACGTAAAAAGAAAAAAATATTATATACGTAAAAAGAATGTAGTGCAATTGATTTTTCATATGCAGTAACTGAATTTGCAAAATCGTGTTTATACAAATTTTAATCGTAAAATAAATTGCTGGAAATGCCAAAAATTTTAAATTCGGTCAAATTGAGTTCATATTTGATGATATGTGGAGGCAGAGTAGCCGAATAGTTGTAATTAAGATCATTGTTTCAAGCACCAAGGTTCAGAACTGCTTCTGATAGGACGAAATCTGTCCTCAAGAAATCCGAACAGAGATATCACCTGCATTTCTATCTCAGAGTGAATCCTTGGCAAAAATTTCTCGTTATGCTAACAGCCAATGCAAAGATCTTAACTAGAAATGCTAAGCTAACTAATAAAATTACTAATAGCTAACTAATAAAAAATATTAACAGAAATGAACGAAAGTGTATGAAATTCTGTCCTCTGTTTTGTACGGTTGCTGAAAAAGCGCCTTAGGTACGAGTGATCTAAGGTAGACGGTTCCATGCTTCTCTTAATGACTATATTTTACAGATATATAACGAGGCAGTACGCATTGCCATCCAGATGCGAATTTTCATTTTGATCCATTTCACGGCGATTCCACAGAGTTCCCTTCAATGGACAAAGATATTTCTAGCTAGGGTACTTCGAATTGAAATTTATTTATTCGCCATGAAATAATACTTTGAAAATGGTCTGGTTTGTGAAACTAGCTTGTTTTAATACCAACAAAGGAGCGAATATTGGTGAACGATTAAGACGAATGTTGATATTCTTCTTCTTCTAACAGCTCTCACCATTTCTGGTTAGGCTGGCCATAAGAGTAAGACGTCTCCAAACTGCTCACCCCGACGCCATCGTTAATAGTAATAGAAGCCATTCCTTTTTCCATCGTCTAAGTCCATATATCGCTGGTACCTTTATACGTTCAAAATCTTTCCTGAATGTATTAGTCCTGGTCTTGACTGGCTCTCCTCGATTTTGACGCCAACCATTACAGGGTTTAGCAAGTAATGAAATATGCATCAACTCTTGTGGTGGAGGGCGGACAACATGTCCTAACCAGCGAAGGCGACGCTCTGTGATAATATTATTAATGATATTTGAGCAAAGGTGGATACAATCATGTGCGATTTTATCTGCTCGGCGGATCCGTAGAATGTACCTTAGACATAAGTAGTCTAATAGCTTCTTAATATTTCCACTCTCATTGGCCATGTTTCGCAGCCATATAGGAAAATCGAGCGAATTGCAGGTATATGGACGCGGATTTTCGTCTTTATGGTGATTTCGCGATGATTCCATAGAGGTTTCATCAACCGGAAAAACATAATTCTAGCTATTGTTATCCGGGTTACTATTTCATCCTTTGCATGGCCATTTGGGATTAGAGTGGATCAAAGGTCCAGCTTTTCGTCAACCGGCAATAAATTGATAAAAATAGGTATTTTATCAGCATCTTGTACCTAAGACGAAAATATTTACATTAATTTTCAGTCTAATTCTCGCTGCAGTTGTTGACACATTGTTTGTTTATTTGCATTTCCTCATAATAAAACAAAAATGAGTACATCACCAGCGTATTCTAGGTCTGTGATGCTATGTTCTGGACTGATTTGCACACCTCTTGAGTTCCGACAAGCGATGCACATTATCCAGTCTATCGCATAGTTGAATATTGTGGGGAAAGGACGCCAGTATTTATTTCAAAGGAATCTGTCAGTTCCCCGTATACACAGACTTGCGCCAGGATATGCTGATAAAATTATGAGGCGAATGATCTTCTCTGGGATACCGTCACATTCTATCACTTTCCAAAGCGCTGCTTTATCAATCGAATCGAAAACAGCTGCAAAATCGATAAAGTAAGTGACGGTGGATTGCTGGTATTTGAAGCGATGTTCAGCACCCCACCCTTCTTAGCGTAAGTATCTGGTCAGCACAACCGCGTCCCGGTCTGAATCCAGCTTGATTAGGAAGTATTCTATTATCTCTTGTTGTCGTGATTTATTTAACAGAAGGGAAGCGAGAATTTTTCCGGAGATGTCCAGCTGATTCCTCGGTAATTGTCGCATTACGTCCTATTACCTTTCTTAGGAATGGGAAGCAGAATTGCTTTGCTCCAATAATCTGGTATTATTTCTTTTTGTCATACCAGAGAATACATTTGTTGAAGGTGAATTATGAATGATGACGGACAATATTTGAAGAGTTCGGCCCGAAGACCATCTTCTCAGGAGTTTTATTAGCCTTAAGCTTATGGATTACAGAGAGTATTTCCTCTTCTGTTGGCGGCTCATAATGCAAACCTAAATTTCAACGGGCAAATCAATTATATTTGGGACAATAGATGGTGCATCGTTGTTAAGTTTGGCATCAAAAAATTTTTTCCATCTTCTGAGACGATCCTTGACAGCTTTAATAGGCACCCCATTAATATACCGTACCATTTCACTGACCCCTTCTTGAGTTAGAGTTATTGCTTTGCGGAGAAGGCGAAATAGTTTCCTATTATCACATATCCATTCTTAAGGCCATATCGCTCCAGTAGCGATTTGTGTCCCGCTTTGCTGCTGTCGTTGTAATTCTTCGAAGCACCCGATAGTCAAAATCCCTTGATTTGCGGGCTTTGGCATCTTTTTTAGTTGGACAGTTAGACAGTTGCTTCCGACACCCAACTAGCACACTTCCTACTATTATACTCTAATGTAGAAGTGGCTGATTTTTGTAGGCATGTCTTTAGTTGGGACCAGTGTTGGTTCGCCGTTCCAGAGATGTCATTAAATTGACGTGTATAATGCGGCACTTTGTCCCAGAATCTTTTAATTTGAGGTATTTAAAAGATCTTGGGATACACTGTTTCTTACGACTTGTCAGTTTTATGTGAATTTTGGCTAGAACCAGGAAATGGTCTGATCCAGGAAGGGTACCACTTTTAGCTTCCCGATACTATCAAGTAGAGAATTCTTCCAGCTGTGACTGACTAATATATAGTCAATCTGATTGGAATATTGGTTGTCCGGAGAGTTTCACGTGACTAGATGTTACCTCCGATGCCGAAAGCATATATTAGCAACAAAGATGCTCTTCAGCAAAACGAAGAAGGCGTTCTCCATTTGTCCTTTTGCGCATTGGGCCCCGTTCTGTCGTTCCAAGCAGTTATAGTCAACATCTCACCGCTCTTACAAGGTGTTAACGGATTGGTTCCCGCCTCCCTTGACGGATCTTAAGTACTTATTTCGGTTCGCGATCAAATTCTATGCTTGCGCCTTGGACTTTTATTATTTTCACTATAGCGCCCGAATTGCATATTCATCGCATGTACCACCGGGTCAGAAGTAACATGCGCGTCGGGAGACGCGGACGCCGTATGAAGTGTATCTGACCCTTTCATCATAGAATAACTTAGGGATACAGGTAGGTCCCCAGTAGCCACCCGGATTTGGTACCATGACAGGTTTACTCCTGTCAAGACAAAAGATAGAGAAAATTAAATTAAATTTAAAAAGATAAGTTTAGAGACGATTTAATAAAAAGAGAAAAAATTTAAAAAAAAGTCTGAAAAAATAAACTTATCCGATTCGTAGATTTCTAGATGATAAATAATAATTAATAAATTATAAGGCAATAATATAGCGATAGAAGAAATATCATCATTTTTTTTTAATTTTATTGATTACTGAGCAGAGCGCCTTTTCGACACAACCGACCATAAGGTCAACACTAAACACTGATATTGATATTGATGAAATATAATTGATAATTGAATGGCTCTTAATTCTATTTTTTTTTCATTCTTAGCATTCACTTTCAATACCAAATATATAATTCTGATATGACAACACCGATATATTCTTATGTCGATTTATAATTTTGAAAATCCTTTCCTTAATGAATCCCAGTCAGTGAATTAAACAAGTGGTTTTTTCAATACAGTTTGAAAAAATTGTGGAGGAATCGAGTTAAAAAGTTCTCATTTCCAAAAAACAGTTCAAAAAGGTTAGTAGTTTCCACTCGCATAAAGGCCATAGATAATTATAAGCCACAAGCAATTGATAGCGAAAATGGACAAAAAGGTCTAATTTGCATTATCAGATAATAAGCTTACTTTATCAATTGTTTTTTCTTATTCGAAATTTTTCGAATAAATTTTTGAATTAATAAAAAATCTAAGGAAAGCGATATTTTTGGTACCAAAAATATCTCTAAATTTTTTCCAGTTTCTCTATTTCAAATATAATTAAATAAAACTAAAAATGCTGTTGGTTTCTCATTTCACGGTCATTTGTATATTCATGAGACGCCTTAAATGAGATATTTCAGGAATCAAAAGGAAAATTCGACAAACTACTGAATATATATATATATATATATATATTCAGGAATTTTAAAATTTGATTGCAAGTCAGGATAAAACTATTACTATTGTGTTCGTATTTCGAATGAAACAAGTCCAAATTTTTCATTTAAAATTCTTTTTCGTTGTAACGAATCTCACATATTTATTTTGTAAGTTTGGTCTTTTTAATTGCATTTTAAAGCCAAAAATATTTATCCTTCTGAACATTAGAACTTGAATAATAATTGAATAATTTACTTTTGTTGAAGTTTTCACATTTAATTTTTTAACCGAATTATAAGCACGTTGAATTCATGCCTTTCAAATTATATCCAAGATTTCACCAACGAGA